TTTATAAGATTATCCTAAATTTACTTAATGAGTCCCAATCAGTTCAGAAAGGAGGCCACTCTTCGTGTTTTAATGTTTTTAATAATTTTAATACAATTTTGCAGGTATTTTTAATAATTTTAACACAATTTCGATTTTAAATCTCTTATATACAAAAAAATAATAAAATAAAAATAACCGATTGTCTACAAGTGTTGTCTACAATTCTTTGTTCTAACGAAAGAATGCTTCGATAACATGTCTCAACAGGAATTCTTTTAATTTTGGCTAAATAATCTTCTTTAAGACCACCAAAACAACAATATACAGTGATAAAATAAACTCCATTTGAAATATATTAAAATCATAAAATCAGAGTCGGTATAACACAGTTTACATATACCCAAGGTGCATAGGAACATGCTATAAGTCTTTGCCACACATCCCCATGTTTTTCTTTTGTTTATCATTAGAAAGCTCTTCCTTTTTCCAATAATGAAAAATACAATTTTTGTCACTAGGACCTAGAAAGAAATCACTTATTTAAGGCAAGTACCTAGTAATTTTGTTGTTCAAGATAAATAAAGGCAAAGTAAGAGCCAATAAAAAGTAAATAAGAGCCGTGTGGCATACTCAAATTTCTAGTATGTTAATATTGATATCAAATGAGACTAAAAATGTATAGGTAATTGGAGCAAATCCATCTCCGTCCCAACCCCTCTAAGCCTTCTTTTATAAAACTACGTCTCCACTGATCTTTAACTTTTTTTTAGTTCTGTCATGAATTAGATAAAAGTTTATTGACAAATTTAATTTTCATCAAACATTAAACACTGTAATATTTTCACCAACTTTTAATAATTAAGTAACTTATTGAAATGAAAGCATTTTTAAATGAATGTTGTATGCTTATATGTTTATTTACAAAATAAGTTTAGCTTAATAATTGAAATAATATAAAGCTAATTTTCGAAAATTTGTATCTTTTGGAAAATAATTTTTCAAAACAATAAATGCATTTTTTTTCATTAGATCAAAGTTTGTTAATAAATTCTGGTGAATGTGTTCGAGAGCTTATTCAGTCTAGTAAACTAAGCCTACATAATATAACTTGTTCAAAATATTATATAGTCTATTTAATAAGTCATTGTTGTAGTTTATGCAAAATTTATCTTGCAAAAACTGTTGATATTTTGTAATGATAAGTATTCAATTACTATTATTATAATTAATTAATATTATCGTGATCGCTTATAAAACTTAAAAATTATTTATAATTCCGATGACTCTATCTTTCATGGCAATAAATTAAAAGAAGTTGTAGCCCCAAGATTTTTATATCTCATCAAGAATTAATCTATATCATATCATAAATAGAAGTTAATGATTTTTCTAAACAGTCATGGACTATTTTTTTAAAATTTCTACGAAACGTTATGTGTTTGGCGGCAAGATCTCCAAAAACAGACATCTAAAAAACCAGCTTAAAACTGTCTATGCTAGTACGCAACTGATTGCAAGTATTGTCTTCCAAACAATACTGCTGTTAGTAGGATACTCTGCAGAGGTTTTAGTATAAAGATATCTGTTGAAAATTGTAACACAATTTCCTTATTATTAACAATTTTTTTTCAATCTCTTTTGAAATTTTATCTTTAAAAAATAATAGTATCCAGAGACAAGGAATATTTACAAACTTTATTATTTTTTTTATTTAAGTGTCCTGGCAATAAATGGGGTTGAGCTACATTACTGCATTTTTTAATTTTGCACTATAAGAAATTCATAAGTTGTATAGTCTGCACAATGCTTTAAAAGAGTTATGATCAGCTCTTGGCCAGTTAGAAGATGTTGTCATGCAATAAGCACAAGGGTGCATTGATGTTGCAGTTTGTTTTCCAAGCATTTTCTAACCATTTCAACAAAAGCAAAACCTTTACATTTTTAGATACTGTCTAATCTAGTGAAAAAAATTCAATATATATGCATATCATCGTAGTTTTTTTTAATGAAAGTAAATTAGCAAATATAATAGTTTTGTGTACACTGGAAATATTTGAAAGTATATCCGCCACACTTTTAATTTTTTTGGCGTTTTATTATTTTTTAGGTTTAGGGTGACTAATAGAGTAACTTTAAGGAATCGCTGTCGTACATATACACCTAAGTTGATACTAAAATCATTTGTTTCTAGATGTCTGTGATGAAACACCAGTACCACAAGCTCTCCAACGTCATTGCAATACACCTTGAAAGAACTTTTTTCTACCAACAATACAAGTATAAAAAATCAAAATGAATGATGCAGATTACATTCTTGTTGTCAAAAAAAGTATGTAAGAGCTTACTTACCTCTTCGTTTTCATTTACTTCTAATAGCAATTGGAACCATTAAATAATTTTTCAATAATCTCAATGTTCTCAATCATTTTAATATGGAAACCAGTTTCCAAATTCTCCGTTCTTCTTCACTCCTCAGAAAGTGTGCGACTTCAATCATATTGCAGTTACTTAGAATTCATAACAAAACTAGTTATAAATTGGCTTTAAACTTATAAGTAAATTATTGAAAAACTATTAAATTAAAAGCATTAAAACCTTGCTCGGTATGTAATTTTAGTCAAAAATTCCAAACCAAAATAAAAGTTTCATAACCTCAGTCTTCGAAAGAGACAACAAGTTGCTTTGAACCAAACGTTTTCAAAGCTTAAATGTTTCCTGATGCAAAATTTTTATTCAAATTTTTGATAAAACTAGACTGAAATTTTCCTTGTGTTGCAAGTTATGCTGATTTTACTTTGACAGTTAAATTCCTTTTTCTTTCGTACTTTTTTTAGGGATGAGAAATTCATTGTGACACCTGAATACTTTCAGGTTTGTTTGAAACGTCTTTGGCTGTATTGAACTGGTTTCCAAAACATAATTAAAATTAGCAGTCACATTTTTTTCATTTTCAATTTCCACATTATTATTTTTACACTATAGATGGCTTCCTTATTGTGTTTGTAACCCTCTCTCAACTCTGTTAATTCAAAACACGAGCACCCACATTTTGTCCCTCTGACCAGGTCAAAAATAAATCAAAAAATAAGGTCAAAAATATCATGTATGCATATTTTAACTTCATAACACAGTCAAACAGTGAAAAATAGCTTAATCCAAACTTTTTTCTACGTATTAAGCAAACACGGTAGGAAGGTTGAAGTTATTAGCAGATTAATCTTATCAGAACCTTTTGATAGGGTTTGATTTGCCTTTTTTTCTTTTTATTTAAACTTTGAAATGAAAAACTTTAATATATTTCAGCTCAATGTTTCAATACTCTTTGTTTTATGTACAAATGTAAAACAAATTCCTCCCCAGTTTGTTTCCATAATTGATATACTTTGAAAGATAAAAACAATTACAATATGAGTATGACAACCTTTTTATCAAACTAACTTTGGAAAAACAATTATTGCATATTGCGGAGCTTTTCTTTGGAATAAAATAGTTTTAAAACATTTTGATTTTTCTTAGGAACGGAGTTACCTCTCATTTAAAAATAACCTTTAAGAAATAATTTTGTCTCTAAATAATATATTTTTATATTATTAGGCGTAAAATAATTTCATGTAATATTTGATGTATTTATACTGTAAAGTTTTTATAGAGATATACAACTATATTTGATTATGATATATTGAGAGTAAAATACGAGCGGTTCTCGATGACAAGACCTAACGGTCTTCTGAGAACCTCCGCTATCTTTTTATAAAATTAAACACGTGAATAACATATATTATTATTTACTTAGTTCTTATTGTATGATTTTGTTATTAAAATGTTAACGATTCTATTGTACAACGATTTACTAAAATGTTTAAGAAAAGAACAAAAAAAATACAAATAAAAAAAAAAAACATTTATATAGTTTGTTTAATCATTAACTTTAAGTTATACACCCATGCCTTTGCTAAAACAGCAAATCCAAAACCAGACAACAAAATCAATGTGTTTATTCGCATAATTAGACATTATATTCAATTAAATAAATGCTTTAATTAAAACTTTTGATATGCGTTTATAAATTTGAAAAATATATTGCCCCCCTTATTTTTAATTCATTTAATGACCGAAAGCAGGTTTTCAGGACAATTATTAATTATTAGCAAACGCTTATAATTAGTATTTGAACTAAAAACATGCTTCAGACTTGTTAATAATTGAAATAATATTTGTATCATATAAATTTTAATAAGAGTAACAACTTAAATAATAATAGTAATAAATAGTAAATAAAGTTAATAGTTCAGTTTGCAATTTCACTATTGAAACTCGAAAAACATACTAGCAGGCAAGACTTTTTTATGCAATTTTTATAGCATCTTAAAAGACTATACAAATAATTTAAAAAATAGTAAATAGTATATGTATCTTATAGTATATGACACGGGTAACTATTGATAATAACCGATTTACATGTGCTTGTTGTTTTTAATTACATGTTTAGTAGTTTTTTTGTTTTAGTTACAAAGGTACTGTACCAAGCATAATAACAATTTCAATATTTTACAAAATCATTAAATAAATGAGAAATATATTTGTTTAAGGTGAATATTCATGTTTAAATATACATTTGAATATATACATTTAAATATACATTTTTTTTAGAGTGAACTAGTATTTTAGAAATTTTATTTTTTAATCACGCTTATGTAAGTTACATTTTTATTAGAAATTACACTTAAAAGTTTAACTGAATATTTTCTTTATACAATATAATCACTTATAAAAAGTTTCAGATGTATTAAAAGGATTTCATAACGTGTATGAAGGCGATGAAAAAAGTTTTCTTACTTTTAGCTAACTTATTAGACATCATTTAGTTATTTTTAGTAGATCAGTGTTAACGGTTTCTATAGGCAGATATTTATGTTTTTCAAAACAAAATTGACAACAATACTACTTATTAAATTAAAATGACATTCTGAGGTGTTTGTTTAAAAATAATAAAGTCAAAGTTTAAGTCATTATCCTACCTTTTTTTACGTCTAAATTGAATAAATATAAGTACAAGAAAAGAAAGTACGCCAAATAAAACAAGAGCAATTATACCACTTGATAAACCTAAAAGTAAAACGCAATATATTAGTATTGGTAAAAATAAATTTTCATTACATAAAAGCATTAGCACATCAAAATATTGTCAGGAATGTAATTTACATTTGATAAAATTTAGATTTGGGCATCAAATAATATTTTAAATTTAGAAAGTAAAATTTCCGTTAGTATTTAAACAAAACTTTTTGTTTCTCTTGATTACATACAAGGTTTTAACTTTTTGCCAAATATTTAAAATAGCAGTTATTGTATTATATGTCGCAAAATGTTTTTAATAAAAACAAATTTGAACTAAGTCTGGATATTTGAAAAACATTCAAGGCACATTTTAAAAACAAATGCGTATATACAAAAGTGTATTTAGTATATATATACATAAATTTGACACATTAAATTTTCTCAAACATTTTTAATCATTTTTATTAATTAAGAAACTTTATTAATCAGTAACGTATATACACAAGTATGTTTGGCATATATACACATTTAGATTTGGCATGTTAAATTCGCTAAAATTTCAATAACTTCAATTAATTAAAATTTCAACTAAAATTTCAGCTAAAATTTCACTAACTTCAATTAATTAAGTAATTTCTTAACACGAAAATAACTTCAAACGTAAGTTGTATGTTTCATGTTCATTACTAAAATAAGTACATGAAATATTATCATCAAATGTCAACAGATACATATACATATAATTTACATCAAATGTCAACAAATACACCAAATAATACATCAAATGTCAACAGATCTAAAGATATATTGATATTCTTAATTATATTACCAGTAAAAAATGATCATTTAAGATCCTTTATCTCAACATTTTTTCTATTTCAAAAAACTTTAATCTTTTTGAAAATTTACTATTATCTACAAAAATTGAATTTGACATAATTAAAATATTTAAATCTGGAGTGTTAAAAAATTGAACCCCTTCTACCAAAATCGCTGTTAATGGGTCTTAGTATGAACAAATGCCAACTGAATCTCATGTTAGAGGCGCACTATTGTATATCAATAAAAAATTTGCATATAAACCAAGAAATGATTTGATTATATATAAAGCAAAAGAACTAGAATCCATTTTTATTAAAGTAATAAACACAAAAAAGTATAATATGATTGTATACCGATCCTTAACATATAAAACTGTCTAAAAAAAGCAAAACTATATTTATCCTTGGAGACTTTAATTTTATAACTATAGAAAATTAAAAAAAAAAATCAGCTCTGATCTGCAATACAGATTAGCTTATGGAGTTACATCTATATGCAACCAATTGCTTTTACTTTTCCATAATGTCATATTTTAATAAGAATACCACATTATGGAAACCCATCTTATACATTCACATGTAAGGAACAATTAAACATTTATTATAACCATGTTAAATTTGTTATTTATTTATTTTAGATGAAATTCCTTGATTTGGATGGAGAAGATGAGAACAAACAACAACAACTTATCAAATAACAATCTTAATACAGCTAATGGCAAAAAGAGTATGTTTCTTATACTCAATGTATGGAAGGAAACAAAGGTCAAAAGTTAAGGCACAATTTTTGTATTCTACATTGCATTACCTTTTAATAAACTAATATGTTAGTGAAAGCTTATTATTTTACCATATTAGTACGTCAAATACGTTTTATTTGTTTAATTTGTTTAATTAATTGCTACTGGAAAAAGTATTAAAGAAAAAATTGGCAACTTTCTGGTCACAACCATTGATAGAGATGACGGAGGGAAAAATAGAACCATAACTGAGCAACGCCCAATATTGAGCAATGAAATAAGTAACAGTAAATTAATAAAATAAAGTCAATACTATCAGAGTATAATGCAGTAGTTAAAATATGAATATACCTAACTTTTGTGCCTGTATTTAAATATCCATGATTTTATTTTGTTATATTTTGGGTTTGGAGCACTATATGCATTTTTTTTTTAATTTGAATCTGTTTCACATTACCTCAAATAAATTTAATAGTTTAACTTTTTTTTCTCAATGCGTTATAGGATCATTGTCGTCTTCTAGGCTATAACCTGTTTAAATCAAAAGAATAATGTAACCTGGTACTATATATCCTTTTAAACAAGAAAACTGTTAAAAATTTTAATTCTTAAAAATTTTTCAAGAAAATATTGTTTTTATTAATTTTCAATAACAAAAATTGATAACAGAAAATACTTAAAATTTGCTCCTTATAATTTACAATATAGGCATCTATATTACGTCAAATATATGCCAGCATTATATCCCCAATATTGGCTGATATTATTTACAATAATGGAGCAATATCGTAAACTTTCTCACGCCAATATTGCAATGTGAACATTTTGCCTATATTGGTCAATATTGGAAACATGTTCACATTGCAATATTGGCGTGATATAGTTTACAATATTGCACCAATATTGTAGATAATATTGCCCCAACATTGAGATATATTATTGTTTGCTATATAGGTAGCTTACATTCTGAAAATGATCTAAAGTTAGATGAATTCAAAGAGGAAAAAAAATCAATAATAAAAAAAAGCTTCAGGCATTGGTGATATTTACAGCAATGTAATAATAGATATCTTAACCTTTATAAAAACACCTCTTTTTAATATTTTTATATTAAAAAAAAGGCACTTCCGTCGATTCTTTCCACTCTAAATATTGATTTCAACAATATTGAAAGAACCCAAACAAATAATTTTCTTGGTTATAGACAAAAGCGTTTCATGGTCAGCCCAAATAAAGGCCATAAACATTTCAATATTTAAAATTCTTGGTTTAATTTGTAAGTTAGATCTTTTTTGTTACAAAAAAAACATAAAAAATTCTATACTTTTTGTTTATACAAAGTCATTTATTCATTTATACATAGTAATCATACATATGCTAACTTTGCTTGGGCAAGCGCACACGAGACAAAGTAAATGTCTCTTTATCGACGACAGAAACATGCTTGTAGAATAATGTATCATAAAAGTAAACATGCACATGCTAAACCTCTATTAAAAGAAACAAAAGCGATGAACATTTATCAAAATAATACCTGTGCTAATATACTATTTATGCTAAAATATAAAATGGGATTAGTTCCTTCGCGATTAACTGAAATTACAGAATCATATATATATATATATATATATGTATATATATATATATATATATATATATATATATATATATATATATATATATATGTATATATATATATATATATATATATATATATATATATATATATATATATATATATATAAATATATATATATATATATATATATATATATATATATATATATAT